TAACTGAAAACGCCATTTTTAATTGTACTAAAACTGGTTCTGACTTAACACTGAGATCAGGATTGTGAATACTGGTATTTTATTTTATGCATCTCTTGGGATGATCCACCTTATTTTATAGTTCACATTTTTTTTAAAAAAAGAATGATTTTAAAATTAGTAATGTTTTCCCATCAGCTATATTCATCCATGTTCCATAATGAAATATCTAAGGCCAATACTTGGATAGAACCAAGGGATTGGGTAGATGGCTCAGTACTTGTTACTGTTAGAATGGACCAGGTTTAGTTCCCAGCACCCATCATTTGGCTCATGAGTTGAGAGATGTCAGATCTAAGGCCTTTTAGTGATGGCCTTTTTCCTGACAAAGACCTGAGGTAGGGCAGAACATCTTAGGAAGAGAGGAAAGGGATACATCTAGGTATATGCATGGTTTCTGTCCCAAAGTCACTAGGACTCAATTATAGGCACTATACCCTAAGGAATTTATCTCATCCTAATTACTTCTCAAAGGTTCCACCTCCAAACACCTTTGTCTGATTATATTTCCAGTTACTTAATGCCTCATAATGAGGATTAAATCTCAATGTTTAAAGAGTTAATGGACATTCAAACCATACCAACAACTAAGCGTTAAGTAAACACTGTGCAACGTAACTTTAATGTTATGATCTGACAAATGCCTATACCATAGTTATACAACTGGCTTGTTTGGAGCAACATGCTTTCTATATAGTTAGCTAAACAGTGGGTTAAATGACACCCCTTATGTGAATTGAGGAACTTGTCTAGGAGTCACATTTAGTTATTTTTATTATTTTCCTACAGAGGCAATCATTCTGTATCATAGCACATGATTTATGTAAGTAAAAAGATGACAAAGACCTCAAAATTTCAGGCCACATAGTATTCCAACTACAATAAATATATAAATAAAATATATTCTTGTTACCTCTTTAGAAATATTGGTCAATGACAAAAAGTAAATCAAAATTTATAATGAGTAACATATACTGACTGCTAAATTCTAACCTTTCATAACTTTTTAATAGAATCATGTATATGAATGTAGTTTAATGCTTAGAAGGTTATTCAATAACAAATACTAAATACAATAGCATTCAAAGGGACTATTCATTCTGGGTATTGAGTAGAACAATAATCTGTTTTCTCAGATTTTTGTTCAAACACTAGTGAGTCATCAGTCATATTTTTCATGCTTGTTCATTTCTATATTTCTGTGCTTATAACTTTTCAATCACAAATAAGTTTTTAGTGATAGGTATCTTTACATATTATTCAAAAATTTAATTGCTAGAGATGTATCTTGGTTATAGAATGTTTGTTTCAGGCTCCATTCCAGTACCACATAAATAAGGAGCACTGGTGCCTGCCTGTAACCCTATCACTGAGAGTGGAGACAAGTAGACCCCTGGTGCTCAATGGCAAGCCAGCCTAGGTGAATTGATGAGCTCTAGGTTCAGTGAAAGACTTTTGTCTGAAAACATAAGGTGTCTGGTTCCGGTGGTATGCACCTTTAATTCCAGCACTACAGAAGCCGAGGCAGGAAGATTTCTCTTGAGTTTGAGGTCAGACTGTTCTACATAGCAAGTTTAAAGTTAGCCAGGAGAACGTAATAAGATCTAGTCTTTTTTGTTTGTTTTTGGAGACAGTTTTTTTTTTTCCCCCTGTGTCTCAGTCCTGGCTATCCTGGAACTTCTGCCTCCTGAGTGCTGGGATTAAAGGAATATGCCACTATCCCTGTTAAGATCTAATTTTTAAAAAGCAAAACAAACAGCAACAACAAACAAGACCTCAACTACATAGCAAGTTCAAGGCCAACCTGGGATAGAAGGACCTTGTCTCAAAAACAAACAAACACAATAACAATAACAATAACAAAAGGCCTAAACCCTTTACTTGGAAGAGAAAGTTCGTTCTGATATGTAAAACAAATACTTCTGTGCATGTCTTACAGATATTACAATCATTTAATTTTCACAATCATTATTAATTTTAAAAGATTTCCACCCAGGCAGTGAGTGATGGCTCATATTTTCAATCCCAGCACTCAGGAGAGAGAGGTAGGCAGATCTCTGAGTTCAAGGCCAGCCTGGTCTACAGAGCTAGTTCCAGGGCAGCCAGGGCTGCACAGAGAAATCCTGCCTTGAAAACCAACCAACCAACCAACCAACCAACCAACCAACCAACCAGATTCCTAAGGTTTAGGAAATTCTTTAAAGCCAAGGCCATACAGTCAAAGTCAAGACTTAACCTACCTCTAATTGTCTTCCAAGTCTGTGTTCCTTTATTACACTTAGAAGTAACCCAAAGACTTCCAGAGGAAATGCACAAAGTACTCTTCTACAGTTTATGTACTATACACAACAATTACAAGTGGCTAAAAACCAGGGTCCTGAAAAAGATCAACCAAAGACTACCTTCCAATTCCCTGTTAGTTTAAGTACTTTAAAACTGTGCCTACTCTACACTGTCCTCATTCCATGTCTCAAACACAAAGCTAGAGGGTAAGTAAGAATTGCCACAGAACTCAGTTGATTTTGTAACACTCTGATCATTACATAGATTGTCAAATTATCTTCTGAAAATCTCTGCCATAAAACATAACAAAATAGAAAAATGTAAAAGCTAATAGGGTAACTAAACAAACTTCATCAATAAAGTTCCTTAAAAACAAGTTTTATAACAGTTTTCATACTGCAGTAATGCCATTAAGTGTCAGAATACTGTCTATGCAGAGGTATAGGCCATTCTGTTATGAAAGTGGACACCAGATTTAACAACCAGCCCGTGCTCCAGAGAGCTGCCTCATCTCTTAGAACTAAACCTTTCTAATATCAACTGTCGACTATGGATCTAATCTATATAAAGGCAAACTTCACTTTTTTATTAGCAACTCAATTTTTCCATTGAGTAAATTTTTCTATTCGTTCAATTTTATGTTTGAAAGACTTCATAATATAATCAGATTTTAGTCCTCACCCAAGTTAAGTATGACTATCACTCATTTTGTATTAGAAATAAACTAATTTAATAACTATAATAAAGAGTTAGAGGGACAGGGGACTTCTAGTTTCTTAAAAGAATTATTTTTAACTACAGGAATTCTTATCTAGCACTTGTGACAGCTACATCCTCGAAGAATCAAGCATATGTTATTTTTAATTTTCACAGTGAATACATTTTATATGAATTAAGACAAAGGTATAGAATTTTGCCCAAGGTCACACTTTGGTAGTGGTGGAACAGAACTGTATTCATATCTGTCCACATAAAAAAAAAAGCTCAGATAGAACCTGGCCAGTGATTGCATAATGACTGGCTTATACTGGATCTATGGAACCAGGAATGACATTGACTGAACCGGGAAGGGGTTGGGGTTGTGGAGCGTCCAATTTTTGGGGAGGGTTCACTCAGCAGGCCTCTGCCAAGAGGAACTAAAGTATGACCTTTACTCCAAACCCTCTGCGGAGACCAGACACCTTTTCAGCTCTATCCCACGTGTGCGTTATAAATTCACGGAGGAAGAAAGGGGAGTAGAATGAGGGTTTCATGGTGGCCCAAGAACCCTTCGTGGCTCTCAGATGTTAAGGTTCAAGTCTGGAGGCGAGGTCGGGAGTGTGAGTAGTGTTTAAGGGAGGGAAGGCATCAAAAGTCAACAAGGGCACCGGGTGGAGATACTCGTTTTGAGGAAGAGACTTAAGATGAAACAAGGTGAAAGACTAGGAGAATTGATGGATGATTCCCTTAAGGGGGCGAGCCTGGGGCTCTGAGATTCCTGTAGCAACTCAACTGTCACGGGGCCTCTAATGTCCCAGTTTTGGAGGGAGAGGAACGATCTCGGTGGGAGCCGTTCAGGATTCATTACCTGCCGGGTGGTTGTACAGCGGCCTCAGTTTCTTTGGCAGCAACAACTCCACTTTATCCATGAGTCGGTGGTAGGTGGCCCGCAGGCCTCGGGCGCCGGCAGCTGCCATCTCGGCGGCCTAGGGATCGACAGCAGCTGGGTGGGAGCGCCGCTGTGTCCGCGTTCCTGGCTGACAATGAAGGGCGGCTCGTCACTTTCCCTCTACAGCGCTAGGCGTCCGCCTCTGCCCTAGGGCGCCCTTCCCTGGCTCTGCTAGACTGAGGTGAAGCACCTAGAGGCCGAGTTTGGCGAAGGCTGAGGGGGCGGAGGCTCAGCAAAAGCCCGCCCCAGCCCGCCTCATGCGAGCGGGTTGGGGAGACAGAGGAGGAGTCAAGGCAACAGGTGCTAAAGAGGTCGCCGTGCTGGGACTACTAGCGCTGGGCGGGCGAGGCGTTGCGCAAGCTTAACGGCCTTCTCTAATTGGCTGGCCTCACAGAGCGGAAAAGGCGTGGTCAGACTCTCACCTCCTTCCGGCCCTAGAGGACATTTTGAAGAGGGGAAACTGAAGCCGCACTTCTGTCTCGTCCCTCACTTTGACTAAGAAGGGTGTAGTTAGAATAAGCTTTCTGGGCTTTCCTCGCCCGAACTAAAGATGACACCGTATACCTGTCGAAATTCCTTTTATTTACTTATTGTTTTTGAGTCGGTGTCTCGCTATGTAACCCAGGCTGGCTTGGATCTCGCCATCGTCCAGCCTCCCGAATACTGGGATTACATTGCATGAGTCATCACGCCCAGTTTTTTTCCTTTGAATCGAGAGGCGTGAGCGAGACAACAACTTCAGCGGCTTCCGTCATTACTCTTTTATCCATAGACAATTAAGGAGTGGGCTAGAGCGGCCTTCATCTACTCTTCTAGGGTGAGGGCAATCGTGACGCACACCGGCAACAGCCGGTGTGCATCCTCTCGCGAGAAAGGCCGGGAGGGGCGTGGTCTAGGGAAGAGAGGGAGGAGCTCGCGGCCGCCTCCGCCTTCGCCTCCGCCTCCTGTGGGAGGGGGGTCGAGGGAGGGGACTGTTGCTGATCTCTAGATGTTCTGGGTAGTCTGAGGAGAGTATGAGGCGAGCTGTGGTCCGGGTGCTTCTCCGCTCCGGGGGAGAAGGCGCGGCCGTGGCTGCCGCCCTCTAAGTCGCGGCGCCAGCGAGGCCCGGCGCGCGCATGGTGCTGGTGCCGCTCGGGTGTTGATCGGCCTGTCCCCTCCCTCTCTTCCCCTCCCCACCCCCCGCGGTGGTCTCCCCTTTCCACCCCAGCCCCAGCAGAGCCATGTCTCGGAGTGGCTCCTGCCCGCACCTGTTGTGGGACGTGAGGAAAAGGTCCCTTGGGCTGGAAGACCCGTCCCGGCTGAGGAGCCGCTACCTGGGTGAGCGGGGGCCCCGGGGCGGCGGCGCTGAGGTCGCCGCCCAGAGGTGGGGGAGGGGGCGCCGCTGGGGCTGTTGGCGGTGGGACTGAGCCTCGGCCGGGGCGCCCCGCGGGCTAGGTGTCAGGTGGGATGACGGCGATCCGCGCCAGCACCTCCTAAGGTCAGGTCCCCTTTGCAAGCTGCCGGCCGCGGCTCAAGCTGGGCTTCCCTCGGAGAGTCGGGCAGTGGGGAGGCGGCACCGGCCCGGAAAGGTGTTAGGGTCGCTCGTGGGCTGGGGCTCCGGAGAAGACTTGCCGAACCTTACGGAGATGCCACGTTGAACGCAAAAGTTGGCGCTTTTGCTTTTCCCCGGACCTGTCCCCGCTCAGCCGAAGACCGCAGGTGTTGGTTGTCCACCTTCTTCTTCCGCGTCCGCAGGGGTTTAGATGTCGCCCGAGACGCTGTTGACCACCCGCAGGGACTTCACACCCCAAGCCTGGCTCGCTGTAAACCGTGGCGCTGAGCCCAAACCTAAAAGAGATCGCGAAGCTCTCCCCACCCCCGCGCTTTCCCGGGTCCTGCCTGCTGTCAGTCCTGTAGACCTCTTTTAGGTGGTGTAGGGTTTCACGTTCCTGTTCCCACCCCTGGAAAACACACTTGGCATTTTCTGTTTCTTAGTTAAGCTTTCTAAAAACAACCTTCAGTACTGTGGGCGCAGTAGTCCACCTTTTTTCGTTCTGTGTACCATGAGTTTTGTTGAGTGTGCTGGGTCATGCCAGAGTCAACTAAAAAGTCCTGTTTCTTCAAAGTGCCTCCTCCCCCAACTCTGTCATTTCTTTTCCAGTTAAAGGGATTTGTTGCTGTTATTTGTTTTTTACTACAACAAAAATAGAAGGAAATGAAATCTCATTACAGCCAATACTGCTGGTTGTAAATTGCTTAAAGGAAGTTTAGGTGTGCATTTTAATTTTTTTCTTTTTTTGTTTTTTGTTTTTTTTTGCATTTTAATTTTTTAAATGAATGTTATCATTGTAAGACTTCAAATACAAAAAAGCAGAAATCCCAGGATCGTTCTTATTTCGGTTTCATGCCACTGCCCTTAGAAATGTTTGTTTTATGATTATTTTCCTTGATTTCTTTCCTTCTTAGAAATACATACCTATATAGAAATAGTGCATGCATGTTCATGCTCCGTGTGTGTGAAAGAAAACTGGATGCACGGTGGTGTAAGCATTTTCCCCTTGCTTTTTCTTCACTCCATCTTGAGGTCCTTTCAGACATAAAAATTTGTGTAAAACATTACATAGTACTTAATGAAGAATTTTAATGCTCTAAGTTTTAGTCTCTTTAATTTTTATTTGAAACAGAGGCTCCCTATATAGCCTAGGCTAGCCTTAACTTTTATCTCATTCTCCTGGTAGCTGGGATTACATTGTAAGTTTTCACCTGACTCTGTCCCTTTTTCTGTGATATGTGTTCACTGTCATGACTGTGCAAACATCGTTTACATATGCTGTAGTAAGTACCTAGAGTGCTTGTTTTTAACATTTGTAAAGTCCTTTTTAAAATCTTTGACTTACAGACGTGTGAAAATTTATTTTAAAATTTATTTTGTCTAAAAAAAACATATTTTTACCCTAATAAAGCAAATGCTAAAGTTTTGTGTGAGTGAACTTGTAGTTTAGTCTTTTATTTCAATTCCTCGGGCAGTTTAAGTTTTCAACTGTGTATGATTAAGGTAATGAAGACATGGTCAGTAGGGCCTGCATGCCTCAGCTTGATCTCTAGGAACTCATGTATTGCAAAGAGAGAACACTTAAGACTAAATTCTGGAATTACTGATGTTTGCTACTATATTTAGCTTTAAGTAATTTAAGTGTAACAATGATGCATACTTTATATTAGCATTTCTTTAAAAGTGATTTTAGCTAGGATAGGTGGAGGATACCTGTAATCCCAGCACTTCCAAGTTAAGGGGTGATGGGGAGGACCACCTGTTTATGTCCATCTTTGAAATAAAAACTACAGTCTAACTAATACCCATCATCTAATAAGTTTCTTTGTGTGTGTGTGTGTGTGTGTGTGTGTGTGTGTGTGTGTGTGTAGGTGTAGGGAGGGGGAGATGACCTTTCTCATAAAGCCTTGTTTGATGAGGAGACTTGCTGAGAGTTTGAAGTATATTTAGTGAAACTCCGTCTCCAAACAAACAAACAAACACCAGCCTTTTAAATTCCAAGTGTAAGGAACTTAGAAAGTTAATTGATTTCTTAAAGATATGCAGATTTAAACATTATAGTTGTTCAGAGTATTATAGTTTGCATTTTCTAATAGGTTTCTATTATTTGTATTCATAATAATGAATTACTGCTAAGTAACATTCAAACTGGAATGTTCACTTTTATAGAGGTCTTGATGCTAAAGAAACAAAACACTAAGGTCCCACTAACTTCCTCAGGAGTGAAACAAGGAGAGAAAACTAGCAAAATTATCAATTTTTTAGATAATGACTCTAATGTATTCACTGACTTCCTAAAACACAAACAGGTTTGCTCTCTCCACTGCCTGATCTTAAGTATGTGAGGGTTAGGTCCTGGGAGGTGTAGCTCATTTAACAGAGTGCTTGCCTAACATGCATGAAGCCCTGGCTTCCATTTCTAGCACAGCATTCTGGATGTGGAGGTGTCAGCTTGTAATCCTAGCACTTAGGAGGTGGAGGCAGGATGATAAAGAGTTCAAGGTCAGCCTGGAATTCATGAGACCCTCTCTGAAAATTAATAAACGGAGGCAATTAAAAAAAATTCAACTGGGTATGGTGGCTCATACCTCTACCACCTGCGGGGGGGGGGGGGGCAGAGACAGAGAGGAGGATTAAGGCATGCTAGGCCAGCTTGTGCTTGGAGTACAGGAGACACATTATTTAAAAACAACAAAAAGGATAGGATGGGTGGCCTGGAAGGATGGTTTACTTGAGTAAGTGTGCTCACTGTACAAGCAAGGGGACCAAGTTTGGGTCTCCAGCATCCTTGTAAAAAGCTGGGGTAGTGGATGGAGGCAGGAACGTTACTGGGTGTGATGACTGTCATGTCAACCTAGCTAAACAGAGAGCTTAAGCTTTAGCAAGTGATCCTGTCTCAGAGGAATAAAAAGAGAGAGAGAGAGAGAGAGCGCGAGCGTGAGAGCTCTCTGTGTCCTCTGGACTTCATGCATTGGCCGGTGCACCCACACATACAGACAGGTGGACAAAACGTGCCTATATTATATACACAAGCCAGGTGTGGTAGGGGGCTGAGGTATGATTGTCTACAAGTTCCAGGCCAGCCTGGCGAGATGTGACTCTGTGTGAAAAATAAAAACAAAAACCCCAAAACCCAAAAATGAGGCACTGTGATGGTTGGGTAAGGCCCTTCCTGTTGAGACTTGACATCTTGAGTTAGATTCCTGGGACCAATACAGTAGGAGAGAACAGACTCCCAAAATGTCCTCCGATCCACACACATGTAACACGACCCATTCCTTATCCTAAAATCAATAAATGTGGTTTTTGTTTGTGATGTTTGCTTTTTTCAAAGATGCTTTTCTAAACTGGCTACCTGTAATCCCAGTTTTGTGGGAGCCAGAGGCAGCATGGTACTACTGTGTTTAAGGCCAGCTTGAGGCACATAGAGGGAATACAAAGAAAACCAAAACAAAAAATTTTACCCAAAATTCTTTTTAAAACACTGGTGAGAGTTTACAAAGAAGCTATAAATTATAGTGAAATTTCACTTAGACCTTATAAAAAATGAGGTAGGTTTTATTTTATTAGTGCTCGTTGACAGAAGTCTTCACTTCTTGGGTAAATCAGTAAGATTGCTGGGTCTATAATGTGTTCAGCTTGGTCTTCAACATAATTTGCATCATATCACATTCCCACTTGATGTGCGGGCTCTAGCTCTTCTTGTCAATGTTTGCTTTACATACTCTTCTGATGTTAGCTCCTCCTCTTTTTAAAGATTTATTTTATGCCCATGAATGTGTGCTCTTTACTGTGTGTTCTCTCCCTCCCTCCCTCCCTCTATCTCTCTCTCTCTCTCTCTCTTTCTCTCTCTTTCTTTCTCTCTCTCTCTCTCTCTCTCTCTCTCTGTGTGTGTGTGTGTGTGTGTGTGTGTGCTTTGACATTCAGGCCTGGTGCCTGTGGAAGTCAGGAGAGTGCCTACAACTGGAGTTAAGGTTAGTTGTGATTCACCATGTAGGTGCTGGGAACCAAACCAAATCTGTAAAAGCAACACATGCCTTTAACTGCCATTCCATCTCTCCAGCTCTAAATTTAGCTTGTTTTTTTTTTTGTTTTTTGTTTTTTTTTTTTTTTTTTTTTGGTAAGAGGTGGATAGAAGTATATTGCTTCAGTTTGTATTTTTCTAATGGCTAATGATTAAATATCCTTTTTTTTTTTTAGATCCGTGTACATTGATTAAATGTGAAGGTTACCTTTTAAATATTTTTAATACATCTATCTATCTATCTGTCTGTCTATATCTGTTTTGGTACAAGTTCTTAAGTAAATAGATTAGAAAATTTATTGTATTTTATTTTTTGAGGCAGAGGCTCACTCTGTAGTTGTGACTGGGCTGTGACTCAATATGTATATATCAAACTGGCCTCAGATTCACTGAGTTCCACCTGCCTCTTGTCTCCTGAATGCTGGGATTAAAGTCAAATAGGTTGGTTTGTTTGTTTTAACATACATTCTCCCCTGTTTGCCTTGTCTGTTTTTCCCTTTAGTTTTTAATTTTATTTTTGGTCTTTTAAGACAGGGTCTCTCCTTAGATAGACCAGGCTGATCTGGAACTACTTTCCAAATGCTGAGATTATAGATGTATTGCCACCATGCCTGGTGCTGTTTTCTTTTTCTGTAGTCCACCCTCCCTTCTCACCTCTCCTAACCTGTCCCTGCACTCCTTCCTTGTTTTTCTTCTCTCTTCGGTCCTCTTTCCACTTTCCTACCTCCCGTCTTGCCCTTCCTCTCCCCACCCACCCCCTCC